TATTAATAAAATTTTGCAGTATAACTCTTTAAAATTTACATTTTCTTATAGCTTATTATAAAATTTATAGCATAAAATTTATTTTCCAAAGATCTTTTTTTATGTTGATTTCCCCCTTTTCTGTAGCACCTAGCCTATATGATAATGTACTACTCATACATATAGATTGTCAGTGACGAATTGTATTACTAACTATCTATTTAATGTGAAAAAGAAGTTAGAATGATAATAATATAAAAGAAGAAAAATGAAGGCAATTACTACTGGATATCACCAAATATCACGTAGTAATATCTGATACTGCCTGCCTATATTTCAGAAAAAAATAAAAAGATAATTTACTTAGTTGGTGGTATCATTACAGTATTATGATATGGTGAATTAACTAAATTATAAGTGCTTGGATCTGGTGTAGTACCATTACCCCTTCCAACAACATAGAAAGAGTGACTGTGCTATATAAATTGAAATTAAAAATTATAATTAATAATTATAAACAATAACCATAGATGATAACTATAGATGATAACCATAGACGATAACTATAGATGATAACTATAGATGATAACTATAGATAAAAAATAAATATATACTAAATGGAAAGGATGGATATTGTTAACGAAAACCAATTCAATACCAGTGTTAGCAGTATCATAAGAAATTATATTCTGATTTGCAGGTAAACTTTGTGGACTAACACCAGAAGTCACTTGATTTAATGTAGAGTAAGTTACTAAAAACCTAGATAATACATGTGTGAAACATAAATTGCTCTAGTAGGTTTATCACAAGGATAAAGTAGTTCTAAAAGGTCTTAGCAACAGTTTCTCTTTAGAGAGAATATCCAACGGCACTAAGTTGATCAGAGGGTTTAATCAGGTAACTCAAGTAATAGTAGGTTATAAATATGGCATCTAGTATAGAACCTAAAAATAGAAAACTACTTAATTAGATACTCAAAAGGCACTGATATGGCTAGAATGTATCCTTATTAATGTAACAAAGTCAGGAGTAGCCCATATAGTTGCTCAAGGCAGCCAGGGCAGCCTTCCAAAAGTGCCGGTGACATAAGATCAATTAATACAACTTGTGGTTCTTTTCTAGCCGCATGTTGTAAATCATTTTTTTTACTGTAAAATAGCAAATGTTTGTATATACAGTGGCTGTGCCATGATTATGTTACTGGACTTTGGGAGGGCACCCTAGCTGCCTCTGGTTGCCCTGGCATTCGATCCAAAGTTCAATAAAACGTGCCAGACCCCAAAGTGATCACCATAACATTAAAAAAAAAAATGCATGCTCTAAAGCTGGTCCTAACAACATGCATTTAGGGAGGTCTGACTGTATATAACATCTATTAGTAAAACATCATGAGGAATATTTTTAATTAGGCTGCAGAAGGTGTTCCTAATTTAAATTTTGTTTTTTGTAAAAAATGTGTTACACCTGATCCTGAGATTCGATTGGTCAAAATTACAGGGGTGAACAATTTTTTGTGGGAGAGCTAAGGCGTCCCTCTGTGGATACTTCTATGGCTCATATCGGATGTTCCGCTATAGGAACAATTACTACATTAACAAATAATAGGCAAGATTACACATAATAAATGTCGTGGCTGATGCTGAAATTTGGATATATTTTGATACGAAATTTTAAAAAAATTTTGGGATGTTTTTTTATCACTTTTTTTTATAGTTAGGTTAGGATTTAGTGTTAGAATTTATAATTAAAGAGTATATGTAGATTCTAGCAGGGCTTATATTTTAAAATTAGGACCCAAAATTTCAGCATCAGCCGCGACAATAAATATTATATGCACCACAGAAATCTCCTTATAAAGCCGATAAGCATTTTACAGGGGAGGGGTGGTTTAGCCGCGAAATACGGTACATACAATAATAACACATAATATATAAATATGATGTGAATTGTTCAAAAGCTTTATTAGACAGAAAAATTTGTGACGATCGAACTACACAAAAAACCTATTATTATAGATAAATTTTATAAATCCAATAATCTTGCTAATTGTGGCGAAGTTGGCAATTTTCTTATAAAATTAGATTTAATCTGTTGCGGTGGTGTATAACTACCAGGTGGTGATCGACTTTCATATTCATTTGCGATGTCACAAACGAATTGCTAAAAATAAATATGAAAGAATTTATATTTAAAACTTACCATAGTGTTTGACAAAAATCAGTCTACCTACCTCTAATTTTACAAAATGTGAAAAGGTTAATACCATTAACGGAAATGATCCTTTATCCGTCGCTATTTTATTTTTGAGAACTGGCCACGAACGATAAATTCCACGTATTCCAAATCGATGAAAAATGACTCAATAGTATCAGCTAAATTGAATAAATAAATTTATGAATTTTGTATTGTGAAATAAATAATTATGAAAAAATACATACCTATATTCAAAAAAGCTAATGCTTTTCTGGGGGCCCCTTGTTCATAAAATTGATTAATTGACTTCTTGCCTTTGAGATGCACTTTGATAAAATCTTTCTTTGCTTTTAATGGAGAGCATCCCAAGGGCTTAATCTCGGAATTCAACACTGTGATATCATCGACTATGCAACAGAAGTCAGGTCTTTTGCTGTCCATTGCTTTTTGGTTAAGTCCTAAAACATACGGCTTAAATTCATTTCCAAAAAATGTTTTTACAAATGGATCTACAGATATACATCGGTGTGCGTCTTCGGTTATGCATTTTTTTGATGTTAATGGAAGTTCGTCCTTCCTAAAAATGAAAAAATTTAATACTGTAAATTATAGTTTTTTCAACTGTTATTTGTAATAAAAACGGAATTACATATTGTTAAAAATTCGGACTGCCTTCTCCCATAATTCATCAGATTCATTGTTATTCGATATAAATTTGGAATTTAACCCAAGTGAAAAGTTGTGGGTTGCCTCATATAAAGAGGTAGTAAGTGAACCTGTTAAAATAGGATTTGTAATTTTATACGGATTTGAATCCAGAATAGAGTTAATACTTCACTATGTTTTATATCCGGATAAATCCGGATATAAAATAAATCCGGATTTAAATTACTATGTTTTACTATAAATTTATGACAAAATATCAATCCGGATATAAATATATCCGGATTGAAGTATTAACTCTAATCCAGAACTTTTATCCATTCGGAGGTAGTAAATGTCGGATAAGGGCAAGGCCAACACATTATCATTATCGACGAAAGGGCTCTAAAATGTAGTAGGAAAAATGGATTCAGTATATTTTATGAATATTAGAGTAATAAATATTTATAAATATATACAGTATTTCGATTGTGTCTTTCCACGTTAAACTTTTTTTTCTCTCCTTAATACTTAATAATAATTTCGTTTGGTAAATTCTAAACTTATTTGATACTTCAACTGAATCTATCTTCCACTGAATATAAAAAACAATTTTTAAAAAGCACAATTTATAGCAATAATCAAAAAAAAAAGCTAAAAGTCCAGTTACCTCGTTTATTGGAGGGGAGAATATTTCCTTCTCTAACTCTTTCAATTCGTCCCAATTATATATTATTTCTTCGCTAAGATCAACAGCGTCAGTATCGGGAATATCATTTTTCTGGTGAAATTAAATAGCAGAAGCAAATCATTTAGCGAGGTTGCTTTAATAACATGTATTCATGAACATAAGATACTTACACTTGATTTATTTAATTTATTATTTGAATATTCTTGAATTTCCTTATCGTTGACATCACACACATATGCCGAGCCCTTTTGCTAATCATAATGAATGCAACATATTAGTTACGTGTATATTATTATCTGACAACCTATGAAAACTTATGTAGATTAGGCTCACCCTTTTTGTTGAATTAGTTGTTTTTCCTTCAATGCTTGGGCTTTTATCACTATCAAAACTTTCCTAAAAAAATTATTGATTTTAAAATCCAAACTCTACAGATCATTTTGAAAAATTATAAGAAACGTGAAATTACGAAATTACATTTTCCTCAGAATTAGAAGATTCGTAATAGTTTTGTATCGTCCTTCCACTTCTAGTTCTGCGTTGATTATTTTGTGAACCGTTATCATCATTCTAAGGATTAAAAATTATAGTTCGTTAAGAATAAAATCACAATAATAAATCATTAGTTGACATGTGCACACCTCAGAGCCCTTTTGCTAATCATAATGAATGCAACATATTAGTTACGTGTATATTATTATCTGACAACTTATGTAGATTAGGCTCACCCTTTTTGTTGAATTAGTTGTTTTTCCTTCACTGCTTGGGCTTTTGTCACTATCAGAACTTTCCTAAAAAAATTATTGATTTTATAATCCAAACTCTACAGATCATTTTGAAAAATTATAAGAAACGTGAAATTACGAAATTACATTTTCCTCAGAATTAGAAGATTCGTAATAGTTTCGTATCGCCCTTCCACTTCTAGTTCTGCGTTGATTATTTTGTGAACCGTTATCATCATTCTAAGGATTACAAATTATAGTTTGTTAGGAATAAAATCACAATAATAAATCATTGGTTGACATGTGCACACCTGTATCCCTTGCAATATCAACTTTCTTTTATTTCCAATTATATTAGCATGTTGGTTCAATTCCTTTCCTCGGTCAAGAGCATAATTTAACTAATGGAATAGCGTTAATCATAACTTGTATAACATAGAATACTGTAATGGTCAAAAAAACTTACATCTTCAGTTTTAACCTGTAAAGTTTTTAGTTCGTTTTGCATTTTGGCATGCTGGATATCTTTCTTTAAATTCTGAATCTTAATATCATTCCAGAATTTTTTAACTTCTGGAGAACGCTTAATTTCCTGGAAAAGCATATCAATTTTAAGAAACGGAAAAGCAATTGTTAATGATATAAACCGTACTATACAGAACAAATTATGTCCTTACACATGAATAGGCATTAGCTCATGACAAACTGCAACGAGCTCAGCGACTCAACACTGGGCTGACTCAGCGATCCCCCAGTGTGTTGCAGCAATAGACTCAGCGATCCTACCAAAATTCCCAACCAACTCAGCGATCGGTTGTGCTCATTATTGCTGAACTCAGCGATTCATATTGCAATATGGGCAGGAATCTTGGCCTGTCAATAGAGCCAAAACATAAAAAAAAAAATGCATACTTCCCAATTGTTGAGTAACTCTTGCGCTCTTTTTGCTTTTTTAATATTTTTATCAGTTAAAAATTTTGAAGAAACGATTTGAACGCACTATGCTCCTCTGTTCTATCTAAAAGCGACATTGTTTCGTATCTCCATTTCAAAAAGCCAATAAGTGACCATTTAGATGGTTTATAGTTTTGAAAGTAGTTGAGTCCTGAACTATTTTCCATAGCTTTCATAAAATGTAGAGTATAAATTTATCCACCTTAACGCTAAGACAAATTTTCAAATTTAGATTTTTAGGTTACACTTTGATGTAGATCTGTACTTAATTAGAAAGAACGTTAAAGCGCGTTTACTACGTCATTCGCGCCTGTGTTACAAAACCAAAAAAGGGAATTACGGACAAACTCTTGGGATTTAGGATTTGTTCATGGACAAACCTGGACAAATGGTCATGTCTAAAAACCCAAGTTGTAAAACTGGACAAACCCAATTCCAAACCCCAAGTCGCAAAATCCCAAACTCTATCATAAATCCCAAATCCCATCCAAAATCCAAAATCCTAAATATTATCAATATCGTTACGTGTTCTGGTAATGTATAAGAGCATATATGTATGTACTGTATGTATAAATTTGAAAAACACTATAAAAAAAAAGATATTTAGATAAAACGGCTACAGAATTATAATGAGTTAAACGGTTTAACATCTCTAATTACAACAGAATTTTTTAAGTATAGCCCGTTATTCAGCAACAGGAGTTTAGATAGAAAAGATTTAACATCAGATAATTTTAATAACAGCTATTATAAAATATAAAAAAAGTTGTATTTCTGATTTATTAAATCTATTAAAATAGTTTAGCAAACTTAAATTTAGTAAAAATTACTAATATCTAAAAAACCCTTTCTAAGATCTTTTTAATTTCCGCATTGTGCCATTGTGAAATACCGACTGCTGGTGCAGCACTTGGTGGTCTTCCTATGTATTTTAGCTATATAAAATCAAAAATAATTGAAATCACAATTTTTTTATCTAAAATAAATAAGTAAATACAGTTTGCAATAGTTACCTCTTGTTTTAATGGCAATAACTGCCTTAATCTTGGTTCAACAAATGTATAAGCACCATTATTTTGTGGTTCTTCTTGACACCAAATAAATTCTATTTTTGTTAAATTTATAAGTATAAAAAGAATAATGAGTAATAAAATATTGTAAATGAAGATTTTAAACACCTTTGGCATTGGTATATTTTTTTAATTCTTTTTCAACATCAGATTTTGGAAATGGGCATAACTCCTATAAGTACAAAACAAATTTATTATGAATATTTGTAGAAGCATTTATAATTGAATCTTTAATTTATTAATGACAATTGCCATCAATTAACCAGTAAGTTAGCATACCTCAAATCTAATAATAGCGACTTTATCTTCAATTTTCTTATTCTGCCTTTCTTTAATCAAATCGTAATATAGTTTTCCCGATACAAATACAATTTTTTCAACTCTTCAATTTAATAATCAACAAAATATATTAAAATATAAAATATATTGCGGCAAATAATTGTTAAATAAATATAAAATAAGATAGATTCAACTTACTTATTATCATCATCATCGGATTTATTTCCAATAATAGGTAAAAATGTAGTTCCATGCAACATATCTTCAAAATTAGATACTGCCACCTATATTTACAAAATTCTTAGTTTAATATTACGCCACTAGAGCCATTAGATAAATCAACAAAACCTACAGGTGATCTTAGTAGTAGTTTTGGTGTGGCTATTATTAGCGGTTTCCTAAAATTTCTTTTCATCTATATCACCGAAATATTAAATGTTATTATCATCAAATCACCGATATTACAAACAAAATAAATAGCATAGCTGAAAATATTATAGTACCTGTCTTCTTAAAACGTGAAAATATTGTGCAGGAGTAGTTGGATTCACAATATGCATATTTGGATTATTTGGTATATTTTCATCTAAGATATCAAACCTATCATTTGTTAACTATAGTATAATTATAATATGATAAGACGTTAGTGCATTGTTTTTTTTAGAAATACAGTACGGGAATCCTTAAACAAACAAGTCATTAATATAGGCGGCCAAATTTTAGATGTATTTTGTTTAACTTTACAATATAATTGGATAATATGATCATTGGAATATAAACCAACATTTGGTAAAAAATTTTTTTAGTAATTTTGGCCAGAATTATGCTAATTCCAGATAATTTTGGCCAGAATTAAGGTGGCCAAATTTTGCGTTTTGTTAATAAAATTGATTAATTTTAAAGGATTTAACACTATTATAATTAACTAAAAAAACTTCATAGCATTGTTTAGGTATGATTTAGGATTCCTAAACTGTAGGAATAAAAAAATTAAGACTTAAAGACTTGCCTGCAAAAACCTTTCAATTCTACAACTAGAATGTTCAGGTCCTGCACCATCATAACCATGTGGCAAAAGCATCACAAGTCCAGATTGTCTCAACCATTTTACTAAAAAAGAGTTACTGTCATTAAAACAATAAATGTATTTAGTATTTAGAATTTTTTGTCATGACATATCTACCTTCGCCGCTAGAAATGTAAGTGTCAATAATAACTTGTGCCCCATTGAAAAAGTCCCCAAATTGAGCTTCCCAGATAATAAGATTGTGTGGAGATTCAGATGACATTCCATACTCAAATCCTACAACGGCTAATTCACTAAGAGGGCTATTTACAATCTATTCATTTTAAAAATAACCCAGCATTTATGTGAGTAAGTTCTAAACCAAGTACTGTAATTAAAAATGAACATTGCTTTTAAAACATGCCTCAAGCATTCCTTGATCAGGTGCCAAGTTATTCAAAGGCACAGCAATTCTTTCTGTATTTTGGCATACGATCATTGCATGACGTTGACTAAACGTTCCTCGACCAACATCTTGACCACATAATCTTACATTATGCCCTTCTAACATTAATGATCCAAGTGCTAACGCCTATTTTCAAAGTTAATATAAAAAAATTATGTAGCAGTCATACAGCAGAAATACAAAAGAGAAATTATGCAAAGATAAATATATATATATGCAATCAACTATAGTTCCGGTCCGGTATACAGCATATTCGTTATGCCTATATAACGGACCAATTTTAAATTCCGTTATAGACCTCTTTCAGGTCAGATTTTGAATAATCATTGATACAATCGCAGTCGTAGAACTGCGCTCTGAGTGGTCGTAAGTCAATATACTAAATTCACCACATTGGTTGTTATACATAATATGGCCTTTTTATTATTGAATCCGTTATAATCGTTTTAAATTTCCTATCAAAATTTGGCACTTCAAATTTGGACCGTTAAACCGGTGAAACCGGTGTAAGGGCGTCCGTTATATCGATAGCTGACTGTATATATACGTGATATATTCAAACCTCTGCTGTAGCCCAGTCAATATTCTTTCCTGTAGAAATTTTTTGCAATCTTGATTGGATATGAAATTTTTTTAATCTTGGATGAACTTCCTATTAATTATTAAATTTTTTATTTTATTATATATTATTATAAATAAATATTTGAATAGAAATAAAATTAAATATACAATCTCATGAGGTATATGAACAGATATCTTTCCAATCTTTTCTAAAATTTCTTTTGAAACACCTATAATACGTATAATGCACAGGTATATAACATAATTTAGATTATTTACAGAGTTGATTAAATTTTTGGTTAGTCAAAATTTTTTTGGTTAATAGTCAAAGGCTTTTGGTCAAACTGGTTTGGTTAAACTGGTTAAATTATCTAGACAATCAGATTAAGGAATTTAATTGTACAAAATTTTAATCATAAATCCTTTTTGAACTTTTAATTAAATTGTATATAGATTTAATAAATAAAAGCAAATAGTTATTATATGTTATATCCATGTAATAATTAGCTTATTTGTCACATTCTGTTTGAGCGATTTAACCAAATTAATTTGATTAGTATATTTTCTTTTTTTTAAAACTAAAAAGTTTTAATAAATAACTTTTTTTTGACTTCTAATTAAAATTGTAGAGCTTGCTTTTTTAATTCTAATGATCAGTCAGATCTTAAGATATCTGGGTTAAAGATTAGAATATATTATATTCTACAAATCTACTGTTATACTCGTATTATAGTTTATAATGTATGAATGCTGCAAAGGAAACCGCGTATATCTAAAAATAGATCATTGTGAAATTCATAATCATCTATTTCTAGATATACGTGTTTTCTTTTGGCGGCACCATATGTTACGAATCTTTAATTTCAAGTATATTAGACCAATTTTGATAATCATTAGAATTAGAAAGCAAACTCTACGACTTTAATTAGAAGTCAAAGAAAGGTTCACTTATTATAATTTTTTCACAATTAAATTCTTTAATCTGATTGGCTAGATTATTTGACCAATTTGGTCCAATTAGTCTGGTCGGGGCTTGATCTGTACCAACCCTCGTTATTTAATATTCAATATTTTTTAAATAACATATATCACATACCTGTGTCCATTTTAGTAACAGTTTCAGTTGGCATTATAAATCCATCCCATTTCTTTTTTAGCATATCTGCCTGTATGTTATAATCAATTTAGTCAGTTTATGATGTTAAAAAAAGCATATCAAGTAATTTACAAATCATACTTCTGGTTTATATGTATCAATCTTTTTATAATGTTCTTCTAAAGTATTAAAATAATTTTTTCTAAATTCTGAAATGTCATTTTCTGAAAGAATTGATTCCTCCGTCTATATTATTTCATCAAAATTCGTTAATATATGATTTTAGTCCTAATTATTATAATAAAAATAAAAAATCTATATATTACCAATAGCTTTTCTTCATACAACTTTGGCACACTCTTTCTTGACCTTATATTGTTGTACATCAATGGTTGTGTAAATGCAGGTTCATCAAGTTCATTATGCCCCCATCGACGGTAACTTATCAAGTCTATGATAACATCCTAATTTAAGAAAACACATTAGACCAGTTAATACAACATTCAGAAAATATATATATAAATACATGAGATATTTTAATTAAATTATACCTTTCGAAATTTATTTCTATACTCAAATGCCACGTCAATAGCCCGAGTCACTTCCTATCAGTTGAAATATAAATCCTTTTAGCTCCAAATATTTTTCATAACTAATTTTCAGCATGAAATATAATATACCTCAGGAAAATCACCATTAACATGAATTACAGGAGCATTAATCATTTTTCCTATGTCACTACAATACCAACTGCTTCTAGCATTTTGTGCAGGAGTTGTATAACCTAATTGATTATTCACTACAATATGTATCGATCCACCAGATGAAAAATGTGGCAAATTTGATAATCCAAAACTTTCCATTATGATACCCTGCCCTGTAAATGCCTATTTTCTTTTTCTTTTTAGGAAAAGAATGCAAATTTAAAAAAAAAAATAAATATAATAAAATATGACGTGAATTTACCGCATCACCATGTAATTGTACGCATATAACACGATCACCAAGTTCACAATCAGTTTCTGATTGTATAAGGTCCATTTGTTTTGCACGTGCCTTTCCCATCGCTATTGGATTTACTGCCTGTTATAATCAAAGATAGGTTAATCTCTATAGCAAAATACGATGTAAATCGACTAACAATTTATAGAACTCGGTCATAATTTTATGCAGAATAGAATTATAAACATTTAATAAAGTTTTCGCGGAATAAACTAATAATAATGACCTAACAATGTGCAGAAACTAAATTCTAAAGAGTGAAATATGTAATTTACTTTAGATCAAACATAAGAAAATATGATATACCTCAAGATGAGAAGGATTATGTGGCATTGATATAGTAATAGGTTTTGCACCACCGTATTCCAATGTTGGTGAGATGGCTATAAGATTACATAAAATTAAAAGCATTATAAATAATAATAATAACGATAAAAGTATAAATTTAATACGTACCGAGATGTGAAAGAACATCGCCAGTAGCAGGTAACTCTTCAGGAAATTCTGGATTTCCTTTAATTTTGTGAAACAGTCTTGTTGGAGAAAAGTGTAGCAAATCTGTTAATAGGTTTAGACGACCTCTATGTGGCATACATAAAACAGCTTCGACAATTCCAGCTAATAAGTAATTTAAAGTACGCATGAGATTTACGAAAAAAAGAACATCAATTGATAAAGAATTAATTTCATCAAGAAAGGTCACAATAAAAAGAAAAAATTACATTTATTGGACACCTCGAATAGTCTATCTAAAGCCACAATCATTGATTCGGCACCTTCTAGACCATATCGTTTGACTTGAGGAAATTTCTTTGCCATAAAATGGTCGAATACCTATTTAATTACAAAATGAAATGAATCTATTTTAAATAGCAACATAAATTTTAAACTGAGAAAGTTTTTAATACCTCCGATCTAGTTAATACTTCGAAAATTCTTTGTTTTTGTTGAGAGGTCAACGACACAGTATTAAAAGTTTCTATCATGTAATAAAACCATCTTCTTTCACTTTCATACTACCAAAAATTATTATCAGTAATAATTATATTACATTTATTTAAATAGTGTTAATAAATACTCACCGGAATATGCATAAACTCGTAAGCAACTTTACCACAATAAACTTTTTTTAAATGTGAAACAATATATCCGAGATTTGCTACAACTTTTGAATTTGTTGAGGTTTTTGATTCGTTTACATGCAAGATTCCTTATATATAAATAACCAATAGATATTCTATTATACTTGACAACAATTTTTCGATATAAAGTGAGTCAACGGAGACGCATAAGTTGTATTTTTTAATTTTTAAAGTTATCTCGTAATTTTGTAAGTTTGTAAAATTATAAAATGGATTTTGTGCTGAAAAAAGGGACGAAATTGAAAATTAAAAAAAAAATTTTTTTAAGCTTATCTCATAAAATTAGTCTAGAAACATTTTTCACTAAAGGAACAAATGTTGTTAATAAAATTTTGCAGTATAATTCTTTAAAGTTTTTTTGATTTTCTTTTAAGTTATTATAAAATTTATAATATTTTCTGAAAAGAATTTTTTTGACAATTTCGTCCCTTTTCGCAGCACCAAGACCAGATATTAAGTTGATTAGTAATCATTAAGATCTTTTAAAGTTTTTTTTTTTAAAAAAAAAGCAAGCGTAAAGTCTGTGCGTCACCGTCGATTCACCCTAATATAAGATTATATACAAAGGTTTACCGGTCAAATTATAAACCTTCGTAGGGTCCGTTAATCCATATCGAGTATGATCCAAAGAAACAACTTCTCTAAATCACAAATAAGATGCAATTTATAATTATGCAAAATAAATTAAAAGTTCAACTTTAGGAACTTACTCTCGTTCCATAATTCCTAAAGGATCAATGTACGCACATCTATGACCATGAGTTCTATAAACATTAACAAGTCGTAATAAATTTGCATTTTCGATTCGATTTGATAATTCTTCCTGTGTATCTTTATAATATATGTAAGCACAAATTAGTAGTGTTTCGAGTCCTAATATCTCATAATTATAAAATAAAACCTACAATCAGGTATACTAAATACTCTAGGAATTCTATACCCAAAAGCACCATCATCATGATACAAGCGAACACCACCACATAACTTTGATCTTCTATTACCACCACTATAAGAGCCAATATTTGAATTAATGATTCGTAGAGATCTAAATTTTGAGAATTGTAACAATTTGATTAAGTGAGCCATGATTAATTAATGTTAATATTGTCGAGATTACTGTTCAGAATCGCAGGATCTATGGTTCTAACAGTAATATTTATCGACTTAATAATATTTTGAAGCTAAAAAAAGTAATTGCAGACACTACGTACCTCCTACGTATTCATTACATTAAAAATACGTATAAGACAGCCAGACGATCAATAAGGAGTCAACTGACAAGCAAAGACAATGTTACCATTTATAATTTTATTAAAGGATTGTCTTATATTCACTTCAATAATCGCTTATGATGTGGATAATTTTTTGTAGCTCGAACACCCCCTAACTTATTATAGAAACTAAAACTGTATAATGAGCATTCTTCTTAACCTGTTCAAATCTGGCAAGAACATCGTCCAATACTAGTCTGCATATAATATTAGAAAAACAAACCTTATTTTACAATTTTTATTTTTAAACTATCAAATAGCACATATCCTAAGAATAAGGTTTCGATATAATATTTAGCTAACAAAGATTTTTAACTGTAAATACGAAAAACTGACAACTGGTCACATTGGTGGTGCAATTCATTCCCAAAGTTTATCGTTAACTAAGCACTTGACTATGTAAATAATCAAAAGATAGGAACGACAAAACTTTATTTTTTGCATAGTTGAGTATTGAAACTCACTGAATGTTTTCATCGAAGGTTTAGGCACAGTATATAAATAATTTTCATCAAATTTAACTATAATAAAGACGGATAACGATTAGAAATCTATTAACATCCTAACCTTTCAAAGATGTTAAACTCAGAAGTCCGGATCGATTCGCAAAGTTGCTTGTTTTAATACAAAGAACTTGCCCTATGCATAACCTAATAAAAATGTTCATTTAGAGATACGCATTTATAAAAATTGGAAGTGCTTTGTTTTCTACATATCGATATACAGTATACTGTGTTTTTAAACCAGAGATTAATATACTAGGTAATTAGCAATAGTGTTGAATTCATAGGGAGGTCCCGGGTCGGAATACCTTGGAATCATGATCGCAGGGCCGGAATTAACTAGTTTTCCCAATATCACTAAAAGTTTTACTAAATGCGGCCTCAATTCGATGGATCCGACCCGAACCCTCATGTAAAAATTGTAGAGTTGTGAGACTTGATAATTAACGTTATAAACTACATCTGAGTGTTGCCAAGGGGAAAATGTCCCTTCGGACACAATTCTTAATAAATTAGATTGTGTCAGGTACGAATTTAATAAAGTATGTGTAATAGTGATTATGTATATGGACATCTGGAAAATGTGTATCAAGTAAATTATGTTTCGTTTGTCTTACTTTCTACAAAATAAATAAATAGAAATAGAAATATAAGATACAAACTTGCTACAAACATGTTTTTAATATTGTGAACAAGCTATTATTTCGTTAATTACAAGAAACACATCAAATTGAAACCTAAATAAACTTTGAAAATATCGAACCTACCTATGTCACTTCAGCAAATATGTTAGCTTATAAGTATTAGGTTGAAAATAACTAAGTGTAGAAATAAGCAGTTTGAAGAAGATATTGAAATTAGTTTGCATTTTATTCATTATAATTATAATAATTCAAAATTTATTTAATAATTACATAGCGATAAAGATCTAAATAAGCATATAATGCCTTCGAAAAGGTCTTTTTTAAACGTATCATTGATGATATTAACTAACTTCTTAACAGCATGGAATATTTCGAAAAAGGATATTAAAAATCTAAATATTTAACGATGGGAAAATTAGTGCCTTATTAATTTCAACAAGATTCCTTATCGCAATCGAAGTCGCATCAATTTTAAAAAAAATTAGTGTATAGAAAAATTATTAATCTAAGATGAAGAAAGATAAAAGATTAACCATCAAAAGGGTACAGTCAATTCTTTCTATAAAGAAAAGATTCCGGAAGAAGAAAGTTCGTTATCGAAAAGTATTATATTTTATTAAAAATATGACACTTTTTTATACCGAACTATATGAAATTCTAAAATTTTGGGGTCATTATATCCAGAGTCGACTGTACATTTTAGAATGTCAAAATTCAAATTATGTGTATTATTTCGTAAATTGCATTAAATATCGCTTTTCATAATTTCTGAAACACTGATAAACTTTGCCGAATGGTTTTTGGTCGATCCGGTTAAGTTATTGATTTCGGCATGATCGATACATAACGATAAATTACCATTTATGTTATGTTATATATATATAAATTACATTGTAGTTTGAAATATACATGTTTTCGCACGACTAAACACTACAACACTAAACATGTTGGGCAAATATTAAACGAAAATTTAGTAATATTGACATTTTATAATATTAAAATTATAGTAGAAAAGTATAATATATAATGCATATGTCTTTTATATATAGGGATATATCATGGTGGACAAACCGATATTCACTGATGATCTACAGTGGCTTAGCCAATTTAATAAAAAAAATTTTTTTAATTTTTTATACGCTTTAAAGTACTTTTTGTTCTCGTGATTTTTCACAAGTTTCCAATCAAATTTAACAAACAAAAGAAAGAAAACGAAAACCCTTTGCATAACCTATATATTGCTAAAATTAATCAAAAATAATTAGAATATTCATGATTTTTTATTAGTACCAACTTTTATAGGAAATGGAAGGTAAATCAGCTCAAGATTCAAGCAAACAGTGCGTTGTGAAGATTTGCAAAGGCGTTTCGATGACAGTTTGAAGAAAAATAACTGAGAACGTTTTGAACAAAGCAGAAGCTAACAGAACCTTGGCTTCATACTATAGAAATCATAAGGATGAATATATGTGTTCTAGTTGTTATAATGCGATTATAGTAAATGGAACAAATACCTTTAAGGAACACAGGTCGAACTAAGGCATATCGGGGCAATATCGGCATGCCGATAGCACATGATATATATCCTAAAGCACACTGTCATTATACTGATATTTTCGTCTGATAATTAACCGATATATCTCTGATTTCAAACAGAGATTTGGCTAGTATAGGATACCTATCGGAACTATTATAAATTTAAATAAAGGAAGTATCAGATAAATCGATAGGCTTTTATATTTTACGATAGACATACCAATCGTTTAATATTTCAAGAAAATCAGTAACCTTTAAGACTATTATCGGTACTTTTAAGTATTTATCGGCATTACCGATATAGCTTGCGATTTAATTATATTTATATTATATTCATAATATCCTAACTAATTTTACTAAACAATACATAAAAATTTTTAAAGCAATAGAAACTAAATTTATTACTATAGCATTATTTTTAATATATACATGTAATTATAT